GAGAGGTTTTCGCTATAGGGCGCGTGCACTCGCCAGACAGACAGAGAGAGACATAGAGACAGAAAGCAAGAAATCACCCCCCAGGGGGATGGTCACGTTGCAATCCCTTCTCCTCCATTCTCCTCTTGGGATCTTGGGCACACACGCACATGTGCCCTGGCGTGAGTTGTAAGCCACCGGGTTTGGGACGCGAACCGTGGTCGATTATGTGGGAGTCCAGTGACATAGCCATTACGCTAACTGCTGGTTCCCCAGAGCATTTGTTTTAAAACAAGGGGAGGTGGAGAATAGTGCCCTTAGGATCTGAGCATTTCATTGTATTTAAGTTCAATTTTAAAAATGAGATAGGAAGAGGATAAGGCAAAAGAGTATTTTCTATCAAGGTACTAAAGAAAAAATAGAAAAGATATTTGGTTTCAGGAATTATGAATTTAAAGTGGCAGTATATTGGGAACCAGCAGTTAGCGTAATGGCTATGTCGCTGGACTCCCACGTAGTCGACCGCGGTTCGCGTCCTAGACCCGGTGGTTTAAAACTCACGCCGGGCGCATGTGTGTGCGTGCCCAAGATCCCGAGAGGAGAATGGAGAAGGGATTGCAGCATGACCATCTCTCCTGGGGGGTTATTTCTCACTTTCTGTCTCTATGTCTCTCTCTGTCTGGCTGGCAAGAGCACGCACCCTATAGCGAAAACCTCTCCAAAAAAAAAATAAATAAATAAAGTGGCAGTATAGTATTTTAAAAAGAATATTAACACAGATTGGTAGAAATGCAGAATTAAACAGCGGAAGAGAGGGCTAAGGCTGAAATACACATCTGTCCTTTTATAAAGATGTGACCATTGAAGTTATAATATAGGAAATCCACTCTCATAGAACCTCAAGTGAAAAATCTAAAAATGAAAAAGTCAGGCTGGCCCTGTAGTGTAGTGGTTAAGTGCTATGCATTGGGAGCTGGATTCCAAAAGGCCAACTGTGGTTCAAGTCCCTGCCTTGGTGGCCTTAAAAACATGCTTGGTACCTATAGATGTCATGCTCAAAATCTTGACAAAATGGAGAAATGTAGAAATAGGATTGCACTAAAGGGTGCTTTCTCTCTCTCTCTTTCTGATAAACACACATATCCTCTGGCATTGAAAAGAAAAAAAGAAAATATAAAACGTGGATAATGTTGTCAACTATTAACAACGAAGGGAAATAAGAAAGGTCTATTTATTTATTTATTTATT